GACTCTGTGAAGACGGCTAGGGCGAGGGGAGGCCTCACACATTGGCTCTAAAAAAATCACACCCTTTTATAACAGGCTGGGGTGGGAGATCTTGCAGTAGAAGATCTTGCAGTAGAAGAATATAATAGGGTGGGGTGGGATCCTGCAATAGAAAGTGGAGCAAGTTGGGTTTTTTTCCCCATAGCAAATAACCACAAAGCTAGTAGCAATAGGCTCTGCCTGCATCAGGAAACAATGTGGGACAGAGCCGGGGAAGCCTCAAAACGTGATAGGCAACGCCACAGGGGAGGCTTTGGAAGCAACATTGCCGGAAACATTCAAGGTGAGACGAGACATCCATCTACCCCGATGCCTTCAGGATATTTTAGTTCTTCCAAAACAATTATCATCACTGGTACTGTCACAGCTGTCAAGACTGCTGTAATCCCTGACACTTCTTCTCTCTCTAGCTAATGTAGACATAAGCTTGTCTAAGTCTATGCTAACCGTGCTGTTGGTACAAGAGAAGATATCACCCACAACAGTCCTAACTAAGTGAGTTATTTTAGGGTGCAGACACTCCAGTAATATTTCCCTTTACAGGGGTGTGAACATAGAAAGCACACAATGAACAGCCCTGAATCAGGATAAGTTACTACTCTGGGCTACATTTAAAAAGTCAGCATTAAGCATGGATGGAAGTAGCCAACAGGACAGTAGAGCTGAAGTGTGGAGGTCTGAGATAACTTCATGTCCTTGCTTTTTTCTATGAGTTACCCTTTCACAGTTTCTTTTTGAATTTTTCTGGGATTTTTTTTTTCTGGGGAAGGATTGAGGACAAGAGCAAAAAATGAAAGGGAATATGATTTGGCTTATTATTATTATGAGAAACTAGTAGGAGGAGGAGTAATAATGAAATCAGACCTGTTGGTTTCATATTTGGCAAGTTCCTTTTTGCACCCGGCATCACTTTACAACCAGAAGTCTCAACCTACCAAAAGAAAGACTCGGCGGATGGCATTTCCAGTCATATCTAGACGCAGAAGATCCAGAAATCTCACGAAGGATGCTGCCTCTTGTGGGGTTTCCAATTCAGCTTTGCAGACCCAAGAAACCCAGATGCCATAAAGAAGTTATTTGAAATGTTTGGATGCTGATAGTGAAGCCAAAGGCACGCTCTGAACATTTGGAGTTTGGCTGTCTCTAGCTTGAGACACACACATGGCTAATTCAGCCTCCTCTTGCATCTACATGTGCAATCAGTGCACACAAATCAACTCCGGTGCTTATTTCTCTTACAACAGGATGGCAGCCTTAAATGCACCATCTCCTAGGCCCAGGCCTCCCACCCTCCTCCCCTAGGACGGATGTCTTATGTACCACAAGGTTTCAAATCTGAGACACCAGAAAATCAGGAATGATGCCATCAGTTCAGATTATCCAATCTCCATCCACATTTTGACCCGAATTTGTACTCTGGCACCCTCCGCAGTACTGGCCCAGCACTAAATGCGAATCATGAAAGTGCCTGGAGCTTGTTAAAATAAAAATACTATCATTGTGCCATGGACTGTCTCCACCAGGGTCATCACCAATGATCAAAAAGGCCTAGTGATGCTGAAAGCTATGTCCTTTGTTACGCAGCCTGGACAGAAAGGCCTGCCAGCGCATTGAAACGATACACAGGCACAGCCCAGGCTGCTTCAGGAGAAATGAGGGATTATTTGGCATGAGCCGCCAAACTGAAAATTTAAAAAACAATGGACCTGAAACAAACATTTTTCAGCTTTTTCATCCTCTCCCACCCCCAAGCACAGCAATCTGTTCTGTGCCCAATGAAGTTTTGGAGGTGGGAGGGGAAGGTAACCCAAAATTAAATGATTATTTTTGCTTTTGGGTTACTTTGACTTTTTCTTAACTTTTTTTTTTTTTTTTTAAATCAGGTTGTTTTTGCAAGGAAACAATTGGTATGCCTCTCCAACGCTGCATTTTCTTCACCAAATATCCCATTTGCTGAGCAATGTTCTCCTAGCTCTGTATACCTCTTCTGTGGGCAAACAAGGTGTATCCATGACCAGCAACTTCTACCGGCACCCAATTCATTGCCCAAAGAAAGAAAAGCGGACTTCGTTCAGTGAAAAGAGTCGCAGCAGCTGTGCTGGAGGAGTTAAACATGGTGCTGCCCGGAGATGGCTCCTCTATTACCTCCCCCTCGACCTCTCCGCCAAGGCCTGGGCTCTGGGTTGTTTAATGAAGATTGATTTCTGCAGGGAGGCTACCTCTGTCTAGACTCTTTATGAGCCACCTGGCATTGCATCCACCCACACAAGTGCCTTCAGGACCCAGGCACGGAAAAATTCCAGGCAATGAAGGAGCACGGATATTCAAGCAGATTTCCACGCTTCCACGGGACGTCTCCCAACTGCCCTAGGGGCCCTATGGCAGGTGTGTTATAACCGCTAGGAGCCAGAGCTAGTTTTCGGGGTGTCTATAGGAGAGGGGCAGCTGCTTGGAAGACGATAAGCCGAGATTTTTCTACAGCGACGTCTAATCCTAAAGGGCTCGGATGCTCGGTGCAATAACACAGGGTCCTTACCTAGTTACCTACAACAATGTGTTAAGACCAGAAGGGGAATGGACCCTCAGCACAAGTCATATGGCAGCCTGGGGGCTGTTTTAATTCGGGCCATCAGCTGATGTAGCCAATTGCTTTACTATAGGACAAGGCCGGCACAGGGATGTCCTAGATACATCCAGGGCGAACAAGGACATATCAAAGTGACAGGCAACTACAGGCATGCAGGTGACAGGGCTTACAGGGCACGGGCTCACCTAAGCCAACCAGAAGCCCAAGCCCATGGATAACTCAGGTGCTGGGGACAATTCCAGCTTCCCACCCTGATCCGACAGGCTGTCCAGCAGTTCCCAGCTCTTCTGGGGACTTGCTGTGACCCAAGAGACTTCCCGAATAGACGCAAGGCCACTGAGAGGAAGGGGATACATGCCAGGTTCGGTGCCCAGGCAAAAAGGAGCAAGACCCATAAGAGAGAGGGTGCGTACCAGAGAGAGGGGACGCTCTGGAGCTCCCTGCAGTGCAGGGCTAACGGAAAACCGGGCCTGGAGGAGGATGGTAAAGTCTAGCTGTAAATTCAATCCCTTTTGTATGAATAAAGTCAGTTTATTAAGAAAGAGGGAGGAGGAGTTTCAGTGAAAAAAGACATATAAATACTCTGCTTGCAGGTAACCAAGGGAATAACTCAAATGCATCAGCTGCGGTCATTTGTTCCCCTGTAGTTCTTGGGCAGCAGAATCTAGCCCCGTTGCAGATCCTGCTTGCACGGCCCTGGCGTAAAAGAGACCCTGGCACAGGAAGAACATCAGGACACACCTCGAGTCCTGCTGAGTGATCGGAAAAAAGAGCAAAGAGCGAGGAGCAAAACAACTCCAGCTGACTAAGGCGGCTGTCAGAGGAACAACAGGAAGGGCATCTGTTGTAGAAAAAATGCCAGGTCTGCAGTGGTGGACTTCTCTGTTTAACAGGGCTGTCACTGCTGCTTCCACCAGCGCTGTTAACTGTGTTATTGGACCTTCAGCGCTCGCCAGAAATCAAGTCCCTGCCGCTTGGCACTGTAATTTGTCACCAGCTTGTCTCCCCTGGCCAAGGTGAATGGTAACATGCACCCGTCGCTCCATGTGCACTGAAAACTTAATGCTGTGCCTGCGATAAGGAACGCAACCCATCACCCACATGCACATAACGGGCAGGGAGATGGCTAAAGAAAAAAATCTCCCTTTCCCCCACGGTATTGAATCCTCCTCAATCACCTGAGCTCGCTGCAGCAAGCGCCCAGTGCCTGAGCACGAGAGCAATGAGACGGCTAAGTCTGAGTTAATAGTGACATCAGGGAAGGGGAGTTGGGAGCCAGAGAAGAGGAGAGCGCTCAAAAGACACTGGAGAGAGAAAATGTGTTGAAATGCAGAGGCAAAACTCCCGTGGGACTTTAGCAGAGCCAGGATTTCACCCACCTGCTCTGCAACAGACTTAGGGCATCAAAGGAAATCATGCCATAAGGGATCTTCACGTTGGCTCCATATTGCTCTTGAGGGGCTGTCACCAAAAAAACCCTGTCCACCATAAGCAACACTAGAAACTATTATTTGGGAGAGGCTGGGCGGTGCAGAGCGTGCCCGCCTGCTCCTGCCCCTCCCTGCCACAGGCTGTTCCAAGGCCGGCGCACGCTGATGCTGTGCATGAGGCGGCGGAGGAGCTTGCAGCGGGAGTGCTGGGCGCGGCGGCGCTGGAGCCGGTGCCACCAGCCCAGTTTGGGGGGGTAAGCCCCATTATAGGGAATAACTCAACAGCATCAGCTGTGGTCATTTGTTTCCCAGCTCCCATTCCACATGCACTAAATCAGCAGGGAGGATGCTCCGGAGATGCCCCCACTCCCACTCTCAACCGTGCCGGAGGCAGAGATCTCAAGAGCAGCGGTGGTGGGAACCATCCCAAGTATAGGATCCTGCCTGCTGTGTTTCCGGTATTGCCGTATGCAGAGAGGGAGTGAATGGACACGGCTTAATTCTCAGCTGCAGCTTTAAGACCCCCATGGAGCCAGTGTGGACGTAACCCTATGGTTGGACATGGGGCAGCGAGCCAAAAAGGATGGGGTTTTCCTGCACATCCGTCGCCCCCAAATAACTGCCTGCATGTACACTCTTACCCAGTTGTAAGTGGAAGCAAAACTGATGTAACGTAGTCCTCCTGCATGAGCTCTTTCACCGTACAATGTTTGTATGTTCACGCCCTAAGACAAGAATGAGGCCGACAGCTCAAATCTAGTTTAAAGACCTCCCTTCGCCATCGCTGTGATGAAGAGAAGCTTACTGCATGCGACTGACTTCTCTTTCTTCTGCCCCGAACCATCCCAACACTCAAGCATGACAGGGTTATAAAAGAAACTTCCTTAAAACCAAGCCTGTGACATCTGACATGTGTAACGATCACTGATAACTACAGCTCATACCTCATCTGGCTTGGTCAGTGCTTTATAGGGAAGGTTGGCTGGTTTCCTTTGGCCTTGCTGCCACCTCTGCCAGAATTTGGTGAACAGGAACTTCTCCATGGCATTCGGGATCGTGTCAGGGTTAGTCAGCCCCTGGAAATGCTTAGGTGGGAGAGCATCTATGTATCTGGAAAGGGAAAGGATTTGATAGTGCATTAGGAGACTGTTTCCTCCTGGGTCATTTGAAGGGGACCTCGCTAATGCCCTAGCAGAGAGTTTCTATGCCACTTAATCCCATAATTAGTATTCTGGATGTAGTCTATGTAAACTCCGCTGCAGACAAGATCCTAAGCTAAGCAAGATGTGCATCTCATAGGGATGAAGTAATAAAAATGAAATCTGTCTCGTGGTACATCTGGGCTGTAACTGTCTTGCTGATACACTTCTTCTTGCCCAAGATGAGACATTGCATCAGTTCAATATCCAATGAGTCCCCTGCAGTGGGATGGGTTGGGTGACCTATTCGAGACATTGCATACGGAAGATACATATTAGATCATCCAATCTACCTCCTTGCCAATGCAGGAACTATAAATCATCTTCCTATTTCTTATGATTTCATCCAAGCCCTGCTTTATCAACGATGTAGTATAGAAGAACGCTTATATACTGGCGTATTATGCTGGTTTATTTCCACTAGTATGACAAAGGTACCTTATACAGCCGTCCATTTCTGTTTTGAGAGTGTCTTCATATTCTGCCAAATCTTCTCGCAGGTCCCTGTCAGAGCGAGGGAAATCTTACATTATTTTGAACCACAGGGAGAATTCCCCAGGAGACTCAATATGACTTGAGCAGCAAAGCAAGCATCCTTGCTTATATCTTAGCACAATACTCAGCACCCAACATGCTGCCAGCTGCCTGGGGAGCTGGCACATAAAGGGCAGTGTGCAAGGTTTTCGCTGCGCATCTCCTGTTAGCATCAGCAGGAGTCACATAGCGTCGTCTCTGCTCGTGACACGAGGGGAAATGCCCATATACTTACCCTACAACAAACAGGAATGTCTTGCGCACATGCCTCCAGGGTCCTAGCCTGGCTAAATGGCTCCTACCTACTCCTTGTTCCTATATGCCCCTGTCACACAATGCCATTAGAAGTGAAAAAGTTTTTCCACATCCCCAGATGCATGATTGTGGTCCTTTACGTATGGCACTACAGTCTGGACTCATAGCAAGACCCCTAGCTGGGGGTCATTTGATCCCAGCATTCATTCCTGCCCATGGCAGGGGGTCGGACTTGATGATCTGCTCAGGTCCCTTCTGACCCTAATATCTATGAAACAACTGTGAGAAAGCAGCATTCCCTCCTCTGATGAAGAGACTGATTGCATGGTTTGGATGCACCTACCTAACCCGGACGGAGGCATTCCCATAGGTGTCCATGGTATGCCAAAGTTCACAGGGCATGTGCCAATACCTCTGGGAGAGGGAACTCCTCCTTCCCAACCCCAAATCTGGCCATCAAGCTATGCCCATGGGCAAGTTGGTACCGTGTAAGTCCTCGCACACCACAGACAGATGGGAAGGCCTCATGCTCCTTACAGTATTCTGCTGTGGAGGTGATGGACGGCGCTCTCTGTGTCATCTCTCTTGTGCTGTAGTCTCTCCAGGAAGATCCTCCTCGCTGATGTTTTCAGATCCTCCTTGGTTTGGCTTGAGTTCATCACACCGGCCACCGATTCCCCGAGCAGGGCCCAACTGAACGAGGACAGCGCGGAGCAGCGCGGCGGGTCTCTAAGAAGCACATCGTCCAGGGTCTCCACGGCCGTGGCCTGTTTGATTGCAGTGGCGTAGCAATTATCCCGAGCCAGCGGGTTGCCCTTTAAAAGCAGTTGCGGAGATGAGAGGGAGCAATAAAGTGCATGGGGTTTTGGACAACAGGGTGCTCCGAAGCAATCTCCCTTAGCCTGAGCAAGTGCAGCCCATGGACCCACGTTGACAACCAGATGCACTGACACCTGTTTGGGACCCGTAGGAAGAGCCCTCAATATTTAGTCTCACTGTCCACAGACCCACACAGGGATCGGGGAACAAACCGGTTCACTTCCCAGCAGCCACTGGGGCATCCTTCTCTTAGGGAGACTGGGTTATAACTGGGCCAAGCTGCACTCCACAGCCCTTTTATTCCAGGGCACAAATCTGCATGGGAGCTGCGGAGATCTCTTGGTGTGCTGCTGACATGGCCTCCGGTTTGTGCACGCCTGCTTTTCAGCATCCCTCTCTCCTGCCCTTCCACCAGCATTTTATTGTCGATGGGAGTCTTACCTGAAGTTTGAGGTGTCTCAGTCTGCCAAGCCCCCTGAGCACATGCAGGGTATACTGCAGGCAGGCAATCTTGTTGCTGGAAGCATCCAGTATGTTGAGGACCAGGGAGGAGGAGAGGGGCAGCAGGCTGGAAACCCGGTTCCTCTGGATGTAGAGTTCGCAGAGCTGGGGCAGATTCTGCACGCCTTCCAAGGAGCTCAGCTGCAGCAGGGGGGAAACAGGAAAGGACACAGGCTGTGATTCCCAACTAGGACTGAGCAGGGGATTGTTGCAAAAGTCACGCATCAAAGATGCACTTGGCTTGAGTTTGGGGGAAGCGGGTGGAGCCATGCATCAAAGCGACGGGTTTTGCAGGATACAGCAGGGTCAGAAGGCCTGTTGTCTTAAGGCAGAGGTGTCATCCCACCCCTTGGTCCACATCTGGATCGCAGGGTTCCTTACAGGTAGGATCTGGACATGGAGACTGTGGTGGGTGAGCCACATGACTATGAGGGTTACTGGAGCCGTCGCTCACCCCTCACCAGACATGTCCCCAGCACCATTTCCCAGATTTCAGCAGCCGGCCTCACTCCCCGTTGTCCTCCTCCCAAATTCTCAGTCCCTCTGGAAGCCTTGCACAGAGTGGGTCCAGTCTGCATGCTGGACACCCCTGTCCTAAGGGAAAGACAGGACGGGGGAGAGAGGTTTGCTATGGATTGCATTGCTGTTACCGCAAGGGTTCAGATCAGCTCTCCCAGTCAGCACTGGAGGCCAATAAACTGGGCAGACCTGGGCCTGGACCTGCCCAAGGAGAGCCCAGGTAGGACAAGAAGTCGTGATGGCAGCTTTTCTTGCTGAGTGACTCCGGTGTGACTCCTAGTGTGCTGCTGGGATGGGTGAAGTGAGGAGCAGCCTTATTCATTGTAGGAGGTGGCACAGCTTTCACCACCACCACCTGTATGACGGTGTTGTGGATTCCCACCTCAATCTTTCTGGAAGTTTTAGGGGACGGGAAGGTCTCAGACACAGGCAGGGCAATGAGCTGAGTGGACAGACTCCACACTTCTTATCTACTCTCCTTATAGCCACTCGAGAGAGAAACACTAGTGATGAAAAAGAGCTATTTGAGATGGAAGAAAGTGTCAGCACAGGAACAAATAGCTACAAAAAGGCTATGAATAAATTTAGTTTGGAAATCAAAAGAAGGCTGAGCCGTGTAAGAATGGGATCATATGACATGACTGACTTCAATGCAGGGAAAGCTGGACTTGATAGAGTCAGGAGGTCTCTTCCCATCCTAGGTTATACCCTATCAAGTCCAACAACATCCAAGGTTGAACCTAGACAACCCTGCTGTCTTTCAGAGGAGGCCTGAATCCTAATTCCTGACCACTCATGGCTGTTAAAGATCCCGGGTCAATGATTATCAGTCTAGGAAATATGACTTAGAAGGAAAGGCTGGAAGAAGAGAGGACGGAGCGAGGATTTGATAACAGTCTTTAAATACCCGCAGGAGGAGGACGGAGGTAAACTATTCTCTGGGACTGCTGGGGATAGGACAAGTAACAGTGGTCTTAAATTGCAGCAAGGGACACTTGGGTTAGATATTAGGAAAAAACTTTCTCACTTCGAGGGTGAGTAAGCATGATAACAGGTTACGTGAGAGGTTGTGGAATTGCCACCCTTGAAAGTTTTTAGCAGCGGGTTAGACAATCATTCAACTGGGATGGTTTAGTCAGGGGTCATCCTGCTTTGAGCAGGGGGTTGGACTAGATGTGCCCTCCTGAGGTGCCTTCCAGCCCTAGGTTTCTGATTCGGTGACTTTTTGCCAAGAGCAGAGGTGTTCAAAGGAAGTGTCTTGGCTATAATCCCAGCTTGGGTAGAGGGTTTGCTTGATTATATATATATATATATATATGTGTGTGTGTGTGTGTGTGTGCTTAGATTAGATTATATATTGATTATATTATATATCTATATAGTCTCGCTGTCCAGTATTATATATAAAAATATATTTTATATATATATATATATATATATATATAAAATCAATATATAACCTAATCTAAGCATACACACACACACACACACACACACACACACACATATATGCTTTCCTGTACCTCCTTGTCCCGCACCACCATGATGAGAGGGTGGAAGATACCTTGTTGGACCCTAAGTGAAGCCGCGTCAGGTTACTCAGGAGGGGCATGTGCTCGAGGGTCCGCACTTGATTGTGAGACAAGTTCAGGACAAGCAGGTGAGTGCAGCTCCCTAAATCTCTCACGTCGCTCAGCACGTTGTAGCTGAGGTTCAATACAGTGAGGTTGGGAAGAACGCCAATCCCCGGGATGCTGGAGCCGGAGACAAAACAGTTGGGGAGGAGATTAGTGTGGTGCACTCTGCTGCTGAATAAAATACGTCAGCAACGGAGCTGAGGAACGAAAGGGGAAACCAGAGGGCTCTTAGAGTGGACCGAAAGCTAAACTCAAGGTCCAAACTTTGCAAATGGCCTGGAGGCATGTGAAGGCCAGACCGCAGTGTTGCAGCTTGCATCCTTCTCTAGGAGGGGAAGGATCCCCTGGCAGGCATTTCAGTACTGAACAGTGCTTCCCAACCTTTCCAAACCCGCAGGCGAGCCTTTCTCCAACTCCACCTTCTGCCCCACAATACCCAGTCCCACGCCCCATCTCCCTCGTGGTGCTATAATCAGGCCTGGTGCAGAGGCCTGGCAGTGCTGCAGAGGCACTGAGCTAGCTCTGCACATGGCAGCTGGTGTGGAAACAGCATCCCCACGGTTGCACAGTGCAGCATCTGAGCTTGATTAGCCTAACACTTGCAGTGTTGCACCAAAACAGCTCTGATCCTTCCTGTTGGGGGCTGACGCATACAGAACAGCCCAGCGTCTCAGGATAATACTGTCTGGAAGCACGGAAACTTCAGATGACCACCCTACACCCCCCTTTATATCTGCCCTCCTAGCCCAATGGCTAGGTTCACACATCAGGATCCCTGTTTATCATACAGGGAATCATGAGATGTTTCCACTGACATTTCCCTGGATTCGTGGTTGTGCAAGGGGAAGGTTTCGAACCCTTGCAGATGTACTTTTTAGGACATGCCCATCACAATCAACGGGATTTAAGGTCTAGATATTCTAATGGGTCCAGTATGAATTGCTTGCTGTAAGGAAGGGGTTGAACTAGCTGGTTCTTGAAGTCCCATCCAACTCTATGAGTCTATCAGCTTGCGAATCGAGATGTTAAACATGTATACAGGCCTAGGGTTTCATCTGGCATGACCTATCAGAGCTCCATTGACTTCATGAGCACCGAGAAAGGCTCATCCACTAATTAGGATGGACAAACCGTTGCTATAGGGCATGTGAAAGGCAACAAGCAACATTTGAGAACGATGCCTCATTTCGAAGGCCAACAATTAAACGGCTCTTTGTCTTCATCATCTGGGTAGTGCAATGAGGTAGCATGCTAACCTTTCGCCTCGCAGCGCGGGGGTTCAAATCCAGCTGTAGTCTATAAGAAAAATGAAGTCTGGTGTTCATCGCTCATGTCTTTCCTCTGCCGCACTTTATGAATGATCGCTCCTTCGAAGCGGACAGGCTACACACACCAGATAACTTGGCCTAGATTTGTAACATGTACTAGCTTGGGAATACCACAGTGATGCCTTTCACACCAACAGAGCTGCGTGGGGAGGATCGGGACTGAGATATCAGAGGGAAGCCTGTTAAACACAAAGTGGTCTGGGGGGGGCTACAAGAAAAGAAACCTGCCAACGTTTCACCGGTGCTAACAATCCCTCGCTCGCAGGGCAATCGTGGAAATAATTCCTTTCCTCTTTTATTGAAAGAACATTTTCATGAGACCCCATCAATCACGCGCGGAAAAGTCATACGCACCCGCCTAAAGCGTTGAGGGATGCATCCAATTCAGAGAGACTCTCAAAAGCAAAAAGCGCTTCAGGTTGCAGTTCTTCCAGCTCATTTAAAGAGATGTCAAGTTTAACGATCCTAAGGAATGAGAAGGGGGGAAAAGTCAAGTTATTTCCAACTTCCACTGCTCCCTTTCTAAATAGCTGGCGTTTTTAGCCTCTGACGTACTCGCTAGATTTGACAAGTAGCAACACACACAGGCAGTCTGAACATCGGCACTGCCTGATCAAGGAGTTTTCAACTGGAAACCACCCAAAACAAGATCATATAGAAAAGAGGAGATTAAAAGTGCAAAGACAGAGGTCCAAATTCGCAGCTGGCATAAATCCATGTTGCTGCTTGTATCTCACATTTGTTGGCAGAGTCAGGATGATTTACAGCAGCTAAGATCTGCAAGCTGTCTCTCACCCCCTCTGCATCTTAGATTCCCCACCTATAAAGTGGGATCAGGGATATTTATCACCTTTGTGCAACGGCTTGAAGATCTCTGAACAGCCCTGTATAAGGCCTCTGTCTCATTAGGCTTGATTGGTATCCTGGTATGTCTCAGGTAGCCTTCACGATAGCACGGGGAGGAGGGGCAGAAACACACTACTGAAGCTTTTCTCACCAAGTGAGAAAATCCAGAAGCTGACACTCTGCAAATCCCCCCCAAACCATCAGAGTCAACATTTATACATCATACAACCTCATCTTTACCTTGCAGGAAATTCAGTCACTGGGAACGATTGCCTGGAAGACAAAAGGAAGCAGATCTGATCATCAGCTCGCCCTGATACCGAGAGGCCTGTATACACGACACGCTGTAATTACAGCCCGTTTGAGCAGACTCAATTAACCGAGTCTGCCAGACCGTGGTAATTACCGCACTCCAGCTGGCTCCAGCATCATGTGTATCAGCACTAACAAATGGCGACAGGGACACTTTAACTAAACCCGTTCAACGCCGGCATTTTTTCAGCACCGGGACACTGATGCACGAGACACTCTGGGTGCTTTAATTAGAGCCGCTCTAATTAAAGCGCCCCCCACCACCACTCCCGCAGCTTGTGCATAAATGCCCCTTATGCCTACAGTCATTTTTAATGTGCTGGGCCTCTCTCTATTGGGACCAATGAGCAGCATTGGACTTGGACGGGGTTTGGGCTACAAGGGGAGGACACAGAGGAGCTAGGTGAGTTACCTGCACAGTCAAAAACCCAGTGGGTGGCAGTTTCGAGACAAAGGAACCGGTTCCCAAGAACTGGCCAAGTAGGTAGATGTCCTGAAGTGTTTTGAAGGCTTCCACTCTCTCGGTCACCGGTATGAGGACCTGTCACTGCCACTACTTCATCAAACCGCCTACGATTTCCTCACTCCTACCATGCTCCTCCTTAATGCCCCTCGGAGTCAATGGGAGAGTGGCTGCATGGCTAGGAATGGTGCCCAGGGCTCCTGCATGGCACAGAGACCCATTTGCTCCCAAACGTGATGGGATCAGCCCCAGACAGACAGTCAAGAGTATTTGCAAGACCCAGTGCCACTGCCTTCACCCGGGGGGATGGAGAGGTGCAATGTACAGAGCAAAGAAGGAAAGCGGAAATCCTAAATTGTGTCCAGCTCTTGGGGTCCATGAGATGCGGGTGGGAAGAGGTAGAAGACAACCTCCCACAGACCTCTTGGTCCCCTCTATAGAGGTCGGTGGCAACACAGCTGATTTGTACCCTGCTTTCTCCTACCAATCCGACAGTTGCTATCTGCCTGGAAGAGGGAAGGAGGAGAGCTGGGCCCTGCTCGTCCTTCGTCTCCATCAGAATTGGCCAGGAGCAGGCACACTACGAGTCCTCCAAGGATGGTGCAACCCCATCCAACAACCTGCAAGGGAACTGCATCTGCTGCGGCTCTCGCTGAAGGCCTGGCAGTCCCACCTGAGGACACCAGAGGCACCGTCCACACCTAAGACCTGTCCCTTTTAGCAGAGCCCCCGTGACATGCCGTCCTTCACAACGTGCTTTACCTCTATCCTGCTCAGTCAGCTATTTCCTCTTTTCCGACGGAGCCGGAAGGGTTTTTTGTGTGGCTGTGAGCCTTTTACCTGGGGTCCACAGATCCAAATTCAAAGGCGAACGCCAGTTGTTTGAGTCGAGACATCTTCATATCCAGACAGTAGTGAGGTCCAGGCCCTTTCACCCTCCAGGTAAAGGGAAGAGGGTCGATCACCACCACCCGATCCTCAACAAAGTGGCGCTTTATCTTCTCCCCCATTCTTGGGAAATGCCCTGAAAACAGAAGCACAGGTGGGTTAAAGGGAATCATCGCTTTTTGGTGCTGGATCTCTCTGTGGCACCATCTCCCAGGAAAGATTCACCCCGACATAATATAGTTATTTGCACTTGCTGGTGTGAACACTGTTGCTTTAAAAGGAAAAATGAGAGGCAGGGCTGGCTGGGACACATAATGGGCACGTCTACATGTGCAATTAGTGCGACTGTATAAGCTATGGTGCAATTTGAGCCAGAGAAAACTAATCCAGCCGTCACCATCTACACGTGCACTTAAGTGCTGTAGTTTACTCCGCCATCAGATGGTACTTATCTGACGGCACAGTACATTAGTCTACCCTGGCCTAATTGCCATGCACTTATAGACGGTGACGCTTTACTGTGCAGCAAATTAGTCTACTGCACAGTAAAGCGCACGTATAGACATGCCCAGTGACAGATTTACTTGTAGTATTACTTGTACTCTTGATGCCTATGAGTAGCAAAAGATGTCCTGGTGCTGTGTTGCCTCGAGGCTGTTTTTGCTGTTATTAAGGAGTGTCACCTGAATACACAGTATAGAGAACGACCAGGGGGACGTTGCTGTTAAGAGGCGGTTGCACTGCCCAGGTGTTGCTGCAAACAAATGCTGACTGTCCTTTATTTGCCAGCCACTAGATGTCTCCGCGAGATACAACACGAGTCGGAGGTTGCAAGGTAAAAAAAGGTGGGATGAGCTGGGACTCAAGCTGTTACCGTCTGCGGCTCTTGCAGGGTGGGTGTATAACAGATGCCTCCTGTTTGCAAAGGGCAGGGATCCCATATTCCAGCGCACAAAGTTTCAAGGGAAGCAGGAAAGAAGGAGCAGCTATCACGGCGGGGACCCATGAACCCAAGGTGTTAGCTGAGTCCTTCTGTGGCACAGAAAACAGACATGAGTTACGTGCAAGCTGTAGCTCACATGGCTTTAAATGCCTGTCGTGGTCAAGCCCTCGGAGCTAACGAAGGTAGGTGAGTGTGACACACTGGCACATCTGTACCTTTTGTGGGCTAAGCTCAAGTGTAGCCGCTGTGCTGGTCTGATACCCGAGCTGAAATGCTTTTTACAAACGGCACCGTGTAGCGGAGCATGCACCCTTGTCCAAATGCGGATGGGACTCCCTATGAGAGCCTCACAGTTAGCTTCCCACTGGCCAGCTTCCAGCAGGAGGATCTGGGCTACACGCCAACTTGATGGAAATGGGTGACTCCTCCCTAGCTTGCTCCTGCAGCCATACGGCTAAGGGGAAGCGAAACTTGGGGGCATCCGACCCCCCAGCCTCCGGGCATGGGCCCGCATGTAGGATGCTCACCAAAAGATTTGGACATATCTGAAGCCCTGGGCTGAAAAGTCTGGGGTGAAGGATAGTTACTGGTAGTAGGGCCACATATGGTTTTTGAAGGGGTTCGGAACAGATCTGGCTAATTTGAGCTGGAACATGGACATTTTTTCCAAAATATTTAAAAAAAAAAATTGGTGCAGGACTAACCAGTTGAATGGAAGTCATCTTGGCCAACCCAATGGGATTTGAACAAGGTATCTCCAGAGCAGCAACTATTAACATCTACAGTTTGAGCTGGATTTCTCTAGCTGGAATTGCGACAGACTCCTATCCTCTGGGGGTCGGGGGCAGAGGAGACGCCGGTACCTCGCAGTCACCAATGAGTTAGAAAAGCTCACACCATGCTGGCAACCCCTGGCTTCCCCTTGCATGTATCAAGGGCATACTGACAGTGCAAGGTGAAAGCACATGAAACGGGACATATTTACCCCCATTTTGGTAAGAACTCAAAAACGACTCCATTCCCCCAAATTGGCGACTTTTAAATAAAAAAAAAACTTTGAAAAGATTTCTTTCTTCCTAAAAAGCTGCCCGTTCCCAAGTACAAACAAGCAGACTCCCATCACAAATGGGTTTGACACTCGGGTACCAACTGCAGCATTTTTGCTCCCCCTTCAATCACAATGTTGCGTCTTCTCGAGATGCTAGAAGCCGGCTCTTCTGTTAGTTTTCACAAAATCCAGGAAGGCTAAAGCTGTCTCTTGAAACGAAATGGCAATATTTTTCACGTCAAAAGGTGCCGAGGGCAGTGCACCATTTTTTCACGGCTCGCTCTCTCTTGTTCAGGCCCCGCCAGATGGAGAACACAATTCAGCAAAAAGTTTTACAGAATCGGGGCTTGCGCACGTTTGTGTGGGTTGGGAGGAAATCCTTTTAAAGCCTGGACTTGAAAGGTGTGAACTCACTTTGCCACTTGGAGATCACCCACTTACTCCAAGACCACCACGCCAGGGTCCTTGGCACAGCTGAAGACAGGATTTCTAAATTATGCAGTAAGTCAACACAAAACCTTTCTCGACAAGAGTTCACCACCTTGCATTGAATTGTATTGCAGAAGTAGGGAGCACTAAATGCCTCGGGGGTTCATTTAACCCAGGAAATACTCCTGATCAGCATTAGCTGATTAGCTAATTGCTAATTGCTGATACTCATCACCCATGTTAGAGAGGAGCAACGGATAGAAACAGATTCCTTATGGCAAGCACCTTGCCTTTTGTCTCAAATATCTCTGGCGAAAGTTAGAACAACGTTGTTCATTTGTGGGGTGCGAGATACTTTCATTGACTTAGTGGAACCAATGCAACATAGCACCACAATATTTATCATCAGGGATCCTGGTTTTCTCTGATGTAAAAAAAAAATCCCCGATTTTTGGTTTAAGAAAAGTAACCCAAAATCCATATTGGTCCACGATTAAAATGAAACACCACTAATGCGTACATGCACACATGCACACATACAGATAGATAGATAGATAGTGGTGTTTCATTTGAATCACAGAAACACCACAAATACATAGAAATATAGATAGCAGTGTTTCATTTTAATCACGGACCAATGTGGATTGTGAGCTACTTTTCTTAAACCAAAAATCGGGGATTTTTTTTAAATCAGAGAAAACCAGGATCTCTGTCTGTCATACAGGGAACCACGAGATGCTTCCACTGACATTTCCCTGGATTTGTGGTTGCACAAGGGGAAGGTTTCGAACCCTTGCAGATGTACTTTTTAGGACATGCCCATTGAAATCAATGGGATTTAAGGTCCAGATATTCTAATGGGTCAGGTATGCATTGCTTGCTGTAAGGAAGGGGTTGAATTAGCTGGTTCTTGAGGTCCCTTCCAGCTCTACGAATATATGAATGCATCAATTTGCTAATCAAGATGCTAAAAATGTATATAGGCCCAGGGTTTCAGCTGGCATGACCTATCAGGGCTTCGTTGACTCCATGGGCACAGAGAAAGGCTTATCCAGTAATTAGGATGTACAGATGGACAAAAAGGATTACCTTTTACATCAGCAATAACAGCCATGATTCTCCTCCCCCCAAAAGGAAAATTCAAACCTCTCAAAATCTTCCACGTGCGCAAAGCTCCTCTTTAAACGGAGACAAAGTATGGGAAACTCTAGTCACGTGGGACCCATCTTTTTGGCAGACGCACCACAAGATAAGCTCCACACCCTCCCCGAGTGGTACTCCAATTCGCGTCTCCTGCCCAATCCACTGCTCTGCTTTCTGCTCCCTGCCCTGTGCTCCCTGCCCAATCTGCTGCTCTGCTTTCTGCTCCCTGTCCTATCTGTTTCCTGTTCCTTCCCTGGTCTGCTGAATGCCCCACACAGAGGCTGCCCGTGCTACTCATGGCACGAGTGCTGTAGGTGGATCACTCCTACTCTAGGCCATAACCGTGAATTTACTAGCGTGTAAAACAGAAGAGGGTCATTGCATGCACAGTTTTGCAACTTTTAACTTTTGCTACCAGAGTTACTTAACACAATCCCCGTTTAAACACAATAGCAGCCCTGGGGCACGATTGTATTACTGTTGTCGGCCGAAAAATAGGCTTTCCCCTTTGTCTGACTCTTCTTTATGTTTCAGAGAAGGTGTTTGTTCGCTACGGCTTCATTAAGGAATCAGATTCGAGATCTAGATTGCAAGTTGTGTAGGGCAGGGATGGTCTTTGCAAGGCGTGTGTGTGTTATCCACCATTACGAGATCTTGCATCCTTCACTAGTACTCCTCAATGCTACCACAATGCAAATGATAAGTAAAAGATTTCAAGTTCAGCGGGTTAAACAACATGACCAAATGCATCGGCCAAGCCTGATAATCTAAGGTCTTTCTGCGTCAAATAACTCACCGGAGAGAGGCTCCAGGCTGGCATTTTTCAAGACAGGGAGCAGTGGGACTTAACTTCTAGGTCTTATTGAAGACACCATGTGCTACGAAGGATGCATCAGGCCCCTCCGCAAGACAAGAACACGTGTTAGCAATGCCTACGAAGAAGCAGCCGGCTTACACCCATGGAGGCTCATGATTTCTGTAGGAGCCAGGCTGGGTTCAAAGAGAAAAACTAAGAATCATAGGAAGCAAGAAGAGCACCGAAAAAAATTACAGGGTAACGGTCTTTCTAAATGAAACGATAGCGCTGGCATGCAAGGTGCTGGACTGATGGAGGGGGAAAGAAATCAAGCCCTGGCAAGCAGAAGGCAGGCAAGAGGAATCCAGGGTCTGTCTACACTGCGGTACCCAAGCAGGGGGCCCACACACTGATAACAGGGATGCTGAGCTCAGGGAGGGCTGCCAACTTGCCTGGAGATTTAGCCAGCACCGAGCTCTGAGCTGAAAGGACTACGCTGCTAGCGAGCCAGGAGCTACCTAGTTTTAAGGTTGCAGCCTGCAGGTCCACACCGGCTCCCGTCATCCCTGGTCCTCCCGGTCAACACACCCCCAGCGGCCAGCTAACGTCCCGCAAACTCCAGCTCCAGAGGAAGAGGGCAAACCAGTCTCCGTGACTTGCCCTTACACTCCTCCACCTCTCTCAGGCCGCTCCTCTGGGTGGGAGACGCCGCGAGGCTATATGCACCCGTTCACCTGGAACTGGCCCGAGGGCCGTAGCTCATTTCTCCGAGGCCACTGGGCCTGAGCTGTCAGATAATGATGACTTTTGGCTCCCGCTGACCAGGGCTGGAGCTGAGTTGATGACAGAGGTGTAAAAGGCTCCGTCTCTCTTCATGAATCTCCCGATCCAGACAGTTCCCTCCTCCCAAAACTTCATCCCTTAATTGAAATGTTAGAAGGGGCTTTAAGTACTTGCCAGCCAGACGACGTTAACCTTCCACAGGTGCCAGGCAACGAGGGATCGTTCAGATGCTTTATGGGCCGAGATTTCATTTTTATTGTTACACCGAAGCAGTTCAAAAGAAGCCATTTGTTCTGCGGCTTCATACGTTTAGGAACTGAAGTGCAGCAGATTTATCGCGGCGGGAAAAAAACTTTGAAGCGGAGAGGAAATGAATACAAGAAGAGAACAATAATCGCGGGGCACAAGTTTGCAGGAGGTTATTCATGATGAGAACGCGGATCCATCATTGTGACCCACGCGGCAGCGCGGGGCTCGGCGAGATGAAGTCCCGGACACGCTACAACGCTCCAGCGAGCTAGACCATTCTTCTTTGTTCCTTGCTAGTGAGCAGCGATGCTTTTTAATCACATACAAATTCGTAGCAAAGGGTCCGATCCAAAGTCAAACGAGGCTGATGGGAGCCTTTCCGTCTAGAGCGGAGTTGGACAGTTTCCAGCGAAGCAAAGTTTCATCCAACAAAGGCAAATTGTCGAGGTTGAAATGTTTTGTTCATGTTTCACTTGAGTGCAATGATGGACTTTGGCCAAATTCCCGGCCGGACCCAAAGAGAGCCCTGCCTGGGTTTCTAACGGGTCCATCGCACAGCCTCCTGCCACCGGCTCTGTTGGGTTGCACCAGAGCTTCAGATACTAGAAGCCTTCAATTTGGGGCATTTCAGCAGGCAGGACTCCAGGGGCCACAGCTATGGGGCAGACTGGCCTGGCCTTTTTCTAGGAGGTTGAAAGCCCTCAGAGCCCCAGCTCTTCTCCGGCCCCTTCCCGGCTGTGAAACCAAGTCTTGCAACTAGAAGTCCAAGTGCAAGAGGGACACGCACTGCACAGCAATGACACAACGGGGACCAGACCCCAAGTCTCTCGAGAGGCTCTGCACCGGAGGCTGCTGAAACATTTCACTTGGGAAAGATGGTTTGGTTTGCAAGAGGATATTTTGACAGGCAAATGTCATTGCAGAGCATTACGGGAACTGTACAGGAGGGGCTGGACCCCACGCTCTCATGAGGTCCCTCCCGGCCCTAAATTCTGTGAATCAGTAGCTCAGTCCTTCAAGCTATTATCCTCCTTGAGCAGGGGTCAGTTTTGGAGGGCTGATTTTTGGGGAAGGGGTGCATGATGTATGCGAGTAAATATGACACTGAGGCTGCCAACAAGATTTGATCGACTCTTAAGAAAGAGCAGTAGAAAAGATTCACCTTCTCCATCTTCCCCCAGGCAACGTGCAGTCCATTTTCATGCACTTTGCTCCAGCTGGGCTGGAGGTGCCAATCACGAAGACTTGCAGCGCTTCTCTGGGAAGATCGTTCTCCAGCCAAATCCCCTTGAAGTCTTCTCTCTTCCAGGCTGAACAGTCCCCTATCTGTCAGCCTTTCCTCGCCTGGCTTGCTCTTCAGGCCTCTAATCATATGAGTAGCTCTTCTCTGGACTCTCTCCAGCTTCTCCACATCCTTCTTGAGCCCAGAGCTGGATGCAGGACTCCAGCTGTAGCCTCACCGATGCCAAGTAGAGAGGAAGAATCACTTCCTTAGTTTTGCTCGAGATGCATCAGTTGATGCATGCCGGCACATTGTTTGCTCTGCTGACTGTAGCATCATGCTGGTGCCTCGTATTCATTTTATGGTCAATTATGACCCCCTTTCGGACGTGGTGCTAGCTAGCGTAGCACCACCGAGCCCGTAAGTTTGTCGTGGATTTTTCCTCCCTGGATGGAGCACTTTGCACTTCTCAGGGTTGAACGGCATCTGGTTTTGGTCCATCCATCTAACTAATGTGTCCAGGTCCACCTGGATCATCAACCTACCCTGATGCGTGGCCGCACTTCCCTGCAGCTTAGTGTCATCGGCGAACTTTGCCAGCGTGCTTTTCACCCCCACATCCAGGTCATCGACGAAGATGTTGAAAAGCACTGGTCCAAATACCAAACCCGGGGGGACCCCACTGGCTACCTTCCGCCGGGTCAACGCAGATCCATCTATTAGTACTCTCCGGGTTCAACCTCAGAGTCGGTTTCCCACCCATTGAATTGTTGAGCCCACAGCCCCCTAGTTTTACCTTGAGAGCTTCCTGGGACACCAAGTCAAAGGCCTTCCTAAAATCCAAGTAAATGACATCGACCTTATCTCCCTTATCCAGGTGGTGAGTAACCTGGTTGTAGGAGGAGATGAGGTACCTGCTGGATGTTGTTCAGGGGGGTACAGCTCAGTGGTAGAGCGTCTATGTACACGTGAAGAGGTTCCCCGGTTCAAATGTGGGTATCCCCTCATTTAGCAGACACAGGAGTATCACAGATATGTGGCTCGTTGGTCTAGGGGTATGATTCTCGCTTCGGGTGCGAGAGGTCCCGGGTCCAAATCCTGGCCGAGCCCCTTATCTTAGCAAGGATGGCAGAGTGGTCTAAGGTGCTAAACTCAAGCATGGGACTTTCCCAAGTTGTGGGTGTTTTCATCTCTCCTAGACGCATGGATTCATATCCTGCCCCTGGCACCGAGTCAGTGCTCTTTAGGCTTTTTGCACCTGATTTTGTTCCCATTGAAATCAACAGCAAAGTCACAGATTTCAAAGGCCCGGGACAGAGGTTTCCTCAAAGGACAAAGAATTTGACTCGTTCTCAGGAAACGGGAGTCGGGCAGGCAGACAAGAGCCCTGAAAGCCGTAAGAAATGTATTCTTGTTGGCACTAAAGCACTGACAAAAATGTTACTCCACCGAAAATCTGAAGCCTGCCGAAACGAGCTGGAGTCTTTCCTGGGGGTCATAGGAAAGGAGGGCTGGTAGGGACCTCTGGCGGTCACCTAGTCCCGCCCCCTGCCGCAGGCAAGATCATCCCTATCCAAGCCTTCCCCTACAAATCCTTGTCTAACCTGTTACTAAAACTACACCATCCCCCCGGCACACACCTATAAAGCCACAGAGTAAGCAGAAAGACAACGGTGCTCATGAACGTGCTGCTGCCAGGGTTGTTAAATACGCTCAAGACAGGCAGAGAAGAGGGTCGTGCCTCACACTACGCAAGAAGGCAAAAAACCCCATACGCCGTACCAATCTGACCATGGGTAAGATTCCTTCCTGAGCCCAAATGTGGCATTAATCTGACCCTGAGGGCAGAGGAAAGACCATCCGGGCAGGAATTTGGTCCCAGCCGGAGCATCGGCCACACTCCAAGTCCCAGTGGAGAAGAGCGAGGGCCGTGTCGACACCCCACGCACACCATCCGCACCCCGTATCCAGACCCTGATCCGCCCAGGAAGGACCGCAAGGCGAACCCGGTTGAGAACCACGGCTCTGATGGGCGGGCGTCGTTTAATGCAGCGCTGGAGCAAAGCACGAATGGACAAGACCCTCCCCAAAGATGCCCCCGGAGGGGAGGGGAGCAGAGAGGCTTTACCTGTTGCACTGCAATCCCCTTGGTGCAATGAACTCCCCTGCTGCAATGATCCCCCTGGGTGCAATGAACTTGGCTGGTGCAATGCAATTCCCTTTGGTGCCCCGCTAAGACCCGTTGCTACAACACCCGGCTCCCAACCCAAGGCTGCAGCCTGGGCAGCGGCGGGGACTACAACTCCCGT